TGTTGGGAGTTCAGTTCCGTGGTGGCAAACAACAGACCAGACCTGATCCCCAACATCAAACTGCCCATCCCAGGAGTCTAATCTGACTCAGGTAGTCTGGTCAAACAGACCAGACCTGGTCCTGCCATCCCAGGAGTATCATCACTGCCTGCGCTGTGATGACTCATGCGAACATGCTCAAGGAGGATCGCTTGAAGGCCCCGAGTGCCTTTATCCGTCGGTGAGGACGATGGATTCTCGGTCTGGTCTGGTCATGGTTTGGTTGGACTTGGTCGTACGGTTTCTTTTGTAGCTTTTTGTGCCAAAAGCACTCCTCGATCTGTTGTGTTTGTGGCGAGTTTATCATCCTCCGGTTGGTATGGGAGTTGAGCCCAGGCTCCAGGCTATCCTTATGATTGTTCAGCTCAAGGTTGAGCCCAGGCTCCAGGCTATCCTTATGATTGTTCAGCTCAAGGGACTGTTCATTTGGAGCAGTTCGTTTAACTGCTTGGAGCTTCGTCTCGTTCTACCTCGCCAGGTGGGCATCACTGACGGCTTCATCCGCGTCAGCTGCGGCATCGAGGACCGGTGTGAGTCCGGAGGGGTGATTGAACCACTGTCACCGCCCAAAAAGAGGCAAGGACTAGGTCCAGGTGACTAGGACTCTGAGTCTGACTGGTCATGGGCATGGTCACCTAAAGCATGGACAGGGTCCACTAACCATCCCCAAGTTTGTGAGCTCTTGGTTCATCGACCTCTCTTTTTCTTCTTCACTCGAGATGACCTTCACCCTCCACCTTGACAGGTCCCTGTCCCTGCCCCGCCTCCAAACGCTCAGGACACCGCGGATCTCATCCGAGCGCTCGAGGTGGCCTTGGAGCAGGTCTAAGGCCCTGACGCGTGGACGGTGAAGGACGCGTGAGAACCGCGTGGACGGTGAAGGAGTGAGTCTAGGACTGGGAAAGGGGGGGGTTCCACATGGTTAGACTCGTGAGACCTAAGAAGATCGTGTGGTTCTATATGATGTATTATAATGTTCTATATATAATATATTCTACAATTATTATATACTATACTATACTGTCTTTTTCCAAAAGGTAGGTTCTTTTCCATTCTGAAGAGGTGTCAGGATCCATTGGGTTATGGGATGCAGACCTGAAACATCAACATTTTACATGGAAAGAACCGAGTTGAGATGGTTCAACCTGGGCCCGAACGAAAAAAGCATCCACAGGCAATTACATATACCATTATTATACCTCCATCCGGTTGGGGTCTCCAATGGACTAGCCAACACGACTTAGGGATGACACCCACATCGGATGGCCCTGGTGGGCACTGGGTACTCCTCCTGCACCCACCCCAAGCTGAGATTCTTCGATCCTTTTGTATCCAATTGGATGACTGGTTGGAGGTACTAGGTCGTTGAGACTGGGACTGCCAGGGAAACATCTGTTGAAAGCAGCAAGGGTTTCACTCCTTGGAGACGGGTCTATGATCGGAGGTGCACCACGGCGGGTCGGTAACCTGGCGATGGAAGCCATCAACGCTCGGCGACGAGCAGGAGGATGTGATTGGATGTGGGTGGACATGGGAGCATGGGAGCATGGGCCAATGCCACATGGGACGTTTGCATGGGAGCATGGGCCAATGCCACATGCGCGCACAGGTGAGGGCATCTTCAATTTTACTCTATGGCCGCTGGGCGAGTACACCGGATGCTGGGGATATGGGGGATATCCGTTTGTGGCGAGTCCACACCGCCCACCCGGGCTCCATCGACCATCGACGAGTTTCCCAGGTGTCATGACCTGCCATGACCTGGATTGGAAGGGATTAGTGAAGGGATTCTATACTGCTTTCTCGAGTTCTTCTCTTTTTTTCTTTCCTACAGCATCCTACAGCTATTTTGACTTGGCAGGATTTGGAAGGGTCGTGTTCCGGTGAGCGAAGAGAGAAGATAATTCGAGTTCGTGCGCTTGGTGGCTTAGACCACAGCCATTCGCGATGGCAAGCTACGACCCGACATGGTCGATGACCACCCCGAGATGGACTGCTGTTGAGTGCAAACCGTGCCACATCTCACAACGAAGGCACACGTCCACCTAGGTTCTACCAACTTTCCAGGGTTTCCCAGATGCCATCGCGACTCGTGTGGGACAATTTCTTGCGACTTGTGTGGGGGGTGGGCAAAGCTGGATCCCTAGATTGGTGCGGGAAAGTTCGAGACAGTACATCACCCTGAAAGAAGAGCAACAATGGATAGTACAACGGGTAACTTAATAAGCTAGTCTATACAGTATGCCTACTGCAAATGTATTGCATTTGTGTGAAGTTGGATGACATTGGATGACTGATTTGTTTACTGTTGAACATGTTTGCCCATCGGCTTGTGGCATTTTTGGCACATTTTGGGACAGGGTCATGGATCAGGACGGGATCCTGTGCCGATCGAGGCAGGGAGGGTGAGGTGAGGAGCCATGGCAAATTATAGGGGGCCGTACTGAGTGGATAAAATTAATGGGGTCAGTGCCTGGACTTTATCTGTGTGCCAGCCTGCCAGCAACCTATCCAGGGGGTCTATCCTCCAAAAGAATCTACCCAAGTAAGGAGTGGATATTTTTTTGGGGGGTGGATGAAATTGGGTCAGTGCATCAAACATATTCTGAATTAATGCTCCAATTTTATCCACTCGGTAGTGGGAGTAGAAAAGGAAAGAAAAGATAGAACATCTCTCGTTGGACGTGCGTTAGAATTCCGCTCGTTGGATTTTCCGAGCTCCATGACAATTACCTGGATTAACGGACTACATTTCCTAGAATTTTATCCACCCGGTAGTGGGAGTAGAAAAGGAAGGAAAAGATGGAAACGAGATAGGTTAGAGAGAAGAATGAAAGAAACGAGATTGAACAGCAAAGACAATCAAGAAAACAAAAGAGAGAAGGGAGAAGGGAGAAGGGAAAATATCCCGTACTGACCCTGGATTTTAGTATATAGTATATCCGCTCACTCCATACCATGTGATGACCACAGCAACCTGCAAAAAGCCATGAAGCTCCGGGGTGTTCCATATGGCTGTGGGTCATGGCACCAGGATTACCTTGGTTGACCTACCGACGGGAGGTCGTTCGCTACATGGTGGACTGGTCGGGCTGCAGGTGGATCACGACCCATACCCATTTTGTTTGACATGAGAAAACCCTGTCAAACTCCATAGATTTGCGTGAGGACCGGAAGCGTCCCGTCTGGACCCTTGCACCCTTGCGCCTTGAAAAGTACGTTCGATACCGGTGATGGCGGCTGAAGCGCCAAAACTGGGTTTCAATTCCCAATGGATGGGCAGTCAGAGAGGCAACCAGATTTGGCATTGGACTCCGACTGCAGCATGATATTTGAACATGCTTGAACCCCAAAAGACGTGGGCGTTCACGATGCGACACCTCTTGCCGAGGCATGGAGAGATACTTGGGGAGGAACAAGGGCACAGTGTCTTCACGGCTGCACGGTGACTCATCCAAGAGGAACAGCTCAGGGAATCCGCTCGAACCCCTCACATGGACCGGTCTTCGCCAGGTGGAACATTTTCAACCACCTCTGTGAGGCGCAATAACGTGAGCCCGTCCCACTTTGCGTGCTGGCATCCTTGGCTTCTGTCAATTGCTGGAGTATGATGGAGTATGGAAATTGCATGGAACACAAGAAGCAACTTAAGTATGGGGTGACACTGCCCAATCACAGAATCACTCATGGATGGCCTTTGCTTTTGCAACGACCTGTTGGATTCCGCAGCGGAATCCCTAGCGGGTATCCGAACCACTCATCGCATCGTTTTGTTTGGTTTCGGTTTGGACTTGCCTTAGAACCACACTAGACAAAATCAGACGAACCTGCTTTTTTGGGATGTGAGCGGTAAAAAAGTGGATCACGTCAAGGACTCCGAGTGTTTTTGTAGGACTATCAAAGACGATCAAGGACTCGGTCTTCAGGTGGGGTCAAACATCAAGCCAGAATCCATCTCTTCTCGAGCCAACAAACCATAGGAGCTCGAATGAGCATCATGGTGGCCTGCAGAAGGGCAGGGCAGGGCGGCAGGACCCAACAAGTTTGCCGTGAGTTGTCGCACCTGTGGGCCGTGGGATGGGTACTACTCTCTGGGTAGAGGGTTTCAATTCCTTTTCACGTTCAACCTCTACTTGGGATGATTGATCCCACCCACTTGGAATGAGTTGAAACCACCAATCAGTGATGGGTTGACAATGCTACCGGTGCAGAGGATGTCATCACGCCATGGCAATCAGCCATGCCAATCCTCAGACATCAGAGCAAAGCTCGAACGGACGGCGCGCGTCCGAAGAAAAGCAAGGGTTGGCTTGGCATTTGTCGTTCTGCCTCACCTACAGTAGGGCAGTAGGGCCTGAACCAACGTGAATTGATGCTTGCTGACTGTTTGCTGATATGAGAAGTCTTTCGGATGCCCCTTTATCACTTTCTTATTCGGTCACCAGCAGTTTTGCGACATGAGATTAGGTTGGCATGCCAATACCCCATCACTGGCTTTTGGTGGCTCAAAGCCACGCTGGAACTCTTGTATCGCGGAGCCCTGCGCGGGAACGCCCAATGTGCCCGAAGGGCTGACTCAGCGAGGCAACCGAGTGCAAGCTGCAACCAAAAGTTGTTAAAACCCCATCAGCTGACAGTTGATTTGGTTGGACCTACGAATGATTCGCAGATGGAGCAGAACAAAAGACATATATTTAGAGTGCTCGAAGCAGAACACCACACAGCACACATGCTTGGCAACGAGGAAGACACTTATGGAATAAAAGGCATATCCAACGCTTGTGCATCGAAAGAACAATTCTTCTTGGCAAGTGGAACATGTTGCCCATCCATTCATGTTGCAAGTACTAAGCTATATAACTGGCTCCTCTGAACCGGCACTCAGAGCACTCAGCCCATTTTCTGTAAAACTCTAAGCTCTTAAGACCCGCTGGCCATGGCCTCCTGGCGCTTGTCCTTCGATGTCCTTAGGCGACCCGAGCCGTGCAGCACCAAGCGGCTTTCCCGCTTTCCCTTCGGTGGGTTTAGAAGCAAGAGGTCTGGTGCCAAGCTGAGACCTTTCTTTCAACAAAGGGGTTTGAGAGATGACATAGACCATCTAAGACCATCTAAGATGTCCTAGACAGATGGGGTCCATATCAATCACCGAACTGGGGGTAACTTGTGCCATCGATCCTCTGAAACCACTGTATTCTGAAAAGGACATCTGAATAGATCTGACATGACTGGTCAGACTTGGTTGACATATAGTCAGACTTGGTCATGAGTCCGAGGTCGTGTGAAGTTGGGGTGGGGCCTCGGCAGTGGAATTCCATTAGAGAAAGAGCAAGTAGATTCACTAATTTTGATCCCACCAAGCAAAAAGATCACACGTAGATACGAAATCATGCGTACGAAAACCTATCAAATGCCATTGATTTGTGGGCTTTTACCCGCAGAGGCTGCACCTCACAGGCCTCACAGGTGCATTCATCTTGAACTGCATGGAAGACCCGGCTGACTGTCCAAGAAGTTTCAGGATCTGAGCCCATGCCAGCGACTGCAGCTGGATGGACGAACGGCAAACACACACATACCCCTTCCATACTGCTGAACAATCTGAACAATGGGTTGTAACATGTTGTAACTACCGTACCACACCGTACCACTGAAGAAGTGACTTGACATACACTCCACTGGCAAAGGGATAGACGATGATTGACGATGATTCCAGACCTTGGGACATTGGGAAACAAGGTATATTGAGAGTGCATTTTGCTTTTCACCTCACATTACACTTTGCCACCTGATGCCGCCTGGTTTTCATCTCCACTAGACCTGCCGTGGCCCAAATCCGGTGAGGCCCTTGGCCGTCGCAGCCTTCTCGCTTGGCACGAGCAGTGCACTACAAGCACGGATCGTGTGTCGGGAGAACGAAGGCGGTGGGGCTTCGTGATTGGATGAACACAACATGTGTACCAGAGAGATGTTGCCATATATGTCATCAACGCCATCAAAAGCACCTTTCAATTGAATGCTTCAAGAACATAACAACTGCTTGAAAGTGGATCAATGCATTCTCCTAAATTGTTTTGTATAGTTTGATCAAACGTGTTTTTGACATTTAACACATATCAGTTGTATAATATAAGTTATATGTTAAATTGTTTTGACACATCATTAAACCGTTTGATGCGTTGTCAACTTGTATGACTTAGAGTGTGTTTCGAACAATTTTTGAACCTTGTTAAGTGGTTTCTATACTTTGAGCACTGAACAAATTAGAACTTGTTTGAATGTCAATAATGCGTTTCTAAAGTTACTTTCAATCTCTTGAGTTGTTTCTAAACAGGCCTCAGTTGTTTGTGAAAGGCCTCACAAACTCGCTGAAGAGTCGAGCCCATTCACACGCGGCGCCCAAATGCACTTTTGCGTGTCCCGAAGAAACTCGTTCGCACCGATACACCGGGTATCGACTGGCGTATCGTCGTAGTGGCGCAATGGTGTCACACCCAAGCATGCTCCCCTTTCATCATTGCACATATTGCACGGTATAGAAGGGAACTTTTGAGAACAGATGTTGTGTTGAAACATGTTGAAACTGTTCATCAGACCAACAAAACAAAACAGTGCCCTCACTTTCACACCCTCCGCTTCTCTGCCGCGCCGGCACAGGCGGCGGTTCCGCGAGCTCCTCTCGCTCCTCGCGGCGGTTCCGCGTCGCCCTTGGCGGCGGCCGAGGCGGCGGAGGGGTGACCGAGCTGAGGAGAAAACATCGAGAAAAGCATACAAAAACACAAAGACGGAGCTGTCTAAAGAGTGTTTGGTATTCTTTTTTCAGACACCCGCTCTTTGTGATCTTGGGCGATTTACTATACTCAATTCTCTGAAGAGCGGTCAAGACGAAGCAGGACTTGACAAATCTTAACAGTGAGGAAAGGTAGATCAACATAGCACTGAGTTATAGGGGTCTATCAAGCCAGCCAAAATAAGGTGTATAATGCAAACTTCCAGATCAACAATTTGTGTTTTTGATTTTAAGGTGTGATCCTATTGCTGCTCGTACAGGACACTCCGACCATCCAAGTGCATGATGATCGGGAAGACCATTCTACACACACACACATGGGGTTGTCCATGTCCATAAGATGTCTTCGTGAAAAGTGTTAATCCAAATCGACGGGATTGGTGAAGATCCTCCCAGTCCAGAGTGACTGAGTGAGGGACAAGAACTTGGGATTTTTCACCAATGCGCCAGCTCAACGAGGTGTTTTGACAGGGTCCCCGTGTGGTGTGGTTTCCCTTGGAGAGAGCAGACATGACAATCTTGGTGGAAAAACACCAGCTCTCCGTCGTAGACAGCGTGAAGACTCTAACCAAACACCAAAGACTACGGCTGAGAGGCTGCGAGAGTGTGCTTCGCAGACGCCCCGAGGACTCTTCCTGGATACACCCCCTGCCCCCTGTGGTCAAAGGGCGTGTTCAGCTGGAGCTGCCGGGCAGATCACCTCCCCCGATTCGTGCGATGTGAGGCCTTTGGTGCGAGGAGAAGCGAAAGGTGGCCATTGGAATTGACTTGGGCACCACCTTCTCGTGTGTGGGCATTTGGAAGGCGGGGAGGCGGTTCGTATCGGTTCATGGTGTAGATGTCAAAGAGAAGTGGTAGAATGTAGTGAATGGTTGAAGATGTGGCAGGCTATTGTAAGGCAAACCATTTAAAGAAGAGATGGGACTGGCTCATGGACTGGCTCATGGACTCCTTTGCGGGTCGGATCTCGGCTGGTACCGTCCGGTCGGAACGAACCGAAGCATGGAGACTTTCGCGACAGGGACAGTTCCCAGCTCGCCACGGGCCCGATGCATGCGTTGAATTGGTTGATGCCCTTTGTTTCGTTCGTAGCGAACCTTGTTCCTAGTAGTAAGGCCAGGAGCTACTAGTGGCATCCTTGCTCCTATTGGATCTATTAGCGATGCCCTTTGCTCCTAGTAGCTTCTTGTTACTAGTGAAGTCGGGCGAAGTTGGGCGAAGTTGAAGCGGGCCTCACCGTGATGACCGTGCAGAGCCAGGATGATGGCGTTCAAATCATTGAGAATGCCGAGGGCAAGCGGACCACGCCCTCCTTCGTGGCCTTCACCGAGGCTGGGGAGTCTTTTTTGGAATGTCATGGGGAGAATGCGACGCTTGGGCCCCAGGGTGATGAGATTTGTATAGATTTGTCATGTTTTCTCTTGCTATATTGTAAAATTCTGCTTTTAAATGTCCGTTTTTCGTCTTCATGCGGACCCACTACGCACCGCGCGCTGATTTACAGGACGCGATGCAGGCACACTCCCCGAATTTCCGAAATAATGATGGAAGTGGACAACATGCCCCCTTGAAAGACCATGTTACTCCACAAACCAGGTGATTTTTCCACCTTCATGTTACATAGCCTCCCTGCAACAATCATAGAAGTGGAAGACTATACATGACTATGACTATACCCCTGTTTGGTATGAGGATTTCATGGTCTTTCCAGCTGTTCCATGATGTTCCATGGCATTATCAATAATCCATGTATTATGTATACTTGTACTCATTCATTGGATCAGAGAGAGAGAGAGAGATGGCCGCTATGCATCCATATAACTCGTCCATATAACTGGGTTTCTGGGCCCTTCGGCTTCACCACCAGGCGGAACGCCTCACCGGTGATGCGGCGAAAAGCCAAGCGGCGCGGAATCCGCAGAACACGCGCGGGTGCCTGGTGAAGATCTGGGGGTTAAAAGCATCCAAATGCCCGGGGGGTGGAGGTTGGCAGGTGATTCTCTTTCACCCTCCAGGACAATGGCTGAAAGAGGACATCGGGCTGGTGAAAGTGGTGAAAGCCTCGACAGCCTGGGTGTCTCTGTTTTGAGGTGCGCGTGACAGCACCGCGGACTGGTTGGCCAGACTTGATAAGACAAGGGAGGCTCATATAATATGGCTAAATCCATTGTATTGAGATATAGAATCCCACCTCTAGTGGTAACCTGCTGTAAGTGCTGTGGCACCAATTTGAAGGGTTCGTGGTTTTTCTACAATCTGGTCCTGCCAGCGCAGCAGCTCAAAGATGGAGGCCTGATCATCTCAATACTCAAGCTGTCCACATATAAGAAGAACATATCCCACTCGATCCCACTCATTTCTTTGTAGAATGGACCATGTTGGCGTTTCCACCAGGATCGGACACCTGGTGCTCTCGATCCATCCGAAGTGCTCTCGCGTCGGTCCTGGTGCTCTCGAAGTGATCCAATTCCAAAGCAAGTTCTTTGTGACTCTCCTTCAAGGTGATTCAGGTTGTCCGGCAAAAACCACAGATCGCTCGGATTCTTCATATTTAAACCATCGCTAACCTAAGGATCGGTGTCCTCCCCTTGGTTCGGGACCGATCTCCCATCCTCTCAGGGTCTACGATGCCAAGAGGCGCCGATCTCCGATCCGAAGAGCCGTTGGTAGGCCCGATCATCCACTATCATCCATTGGGCCCTGGTACTGGGAGATGGATGGATATGAATATACCGACATAGAACAGACCTATATTAATGATTATGAGGGTCGTTTTTTTGTAAGTCCCGTGAGTTATCTCACAGGTTCCCGCCTGGGTTTCCTTAAGCTGTGCACGGTGTGACAGCATCAACCCTTTGGCAAGCTATTTGTGCAAGAAACCAGGTGGCAAAAAGGATTGGTATAAACATGGACACGGAAACTATTGAATCAATTCCAAACTGGTAGGTCTAGATCCATGATTTTCAAGGGCTTGAAAGAGCCCCACAGTCACGGTATCTGACCAACTTGATCCTTCTCATGTAAATGACTGGACGCTAGGCCAGTCAGTCATGTCCTGCTTTTTTACCGGGTCCGTTGTTCTGCGGTCGCAGGCTGATCGGCCGCAAGTTCCAGGACGCCCCGGTGCAAGCGGACATGAAACATTGGCCTTTTAAGGCCATCGTTGGCATCATGGTCGGCGTCATTGATCGTTGGCATCATCGGCTTGGGGTGCTGTTGGTGCCTAATATTTAGCCGCGGGGAGATGCGGTTGCGCTTGTGGTCGTTTCACACGGATTTACTTGCAAGCTTGACTCACCCCAAATGCAGCCCAGACCTTGTCGAGTGGGGGTGCGTGGCATAAGTGGCATAAAATGATGGAACCAGAATGCACCAAACAGTTCATGTGAAGCTTGGGCTGGGTGGCCTAGAAGGGCTTTCACGTCAGATGTAATCTACTTGATGGTGATCTCTTTAAGGATTGACCCCTCAGGATGCTATAGGAGCACTCATGGAGCACTCCGCTTCGCTGGCAGGTCGTCCGAGGAAAAGATGACAAACCACTCATCGAGGCGAGTCCGGCCGTGCCCAAGGTGTTGCAAAAGGAGAGGCCAGGAAGCCATGCAAAAGGACACCAACATCCTTCCGTTGTGGCCACACGGCATCCTTCCTTATGGCATCCTTCCCCTTCGGCTGCTGAGACCGTATAGACTTATGTAGACTACATAGTGAGTGCCTTTTGCCGAGCGTCTTTTTCCTAGACACCGAAGGTCTATCAGCGGGGAATGTAGCCATGCACTACAGTTTTTCAGTTGTATGATGCCACACACGACCTCAGACTTTCCCCGAGCCCGGATGCTGTGATCCCCAGTGATCCTTGAACCGCTTGTTTCCAGGCTTTTGCAGTCAGAGTTTATCATGCAAAGCTTCCATCACACGGCCACCAACCAGTTTTTGTTGCCCTTTTCCTATAGGCACAGAAAGGTCCGGGCCTCCCCCTGACAGTTCCGCGCCTTCGCGTTTCAACAGGTGACGTATCAGGGGAAGCGAAAACAGTTTCATCCTGAAGAGATCTCAGTTCGGATGCCCAACGCCGTTTCTTCGCCGGGCGTGGCGCGCCTCCGGGCCACGTGGTGTTTTGGGGTGAAAAAGGCGTTTCTTTTTTGGGCAGGACGCTGGACTGGACGGAGAAAGAAGCAACTCACAAACACAGGACTGGAAGAGGAGGACTTCAAAGATGTAGAAGATGGCAGAAGTTTGAGGTGGAATCCCGAGGAAATGGTCGTCTTATTTTATTTACTGTACATTGTTCCAGAAAGATCCTGAGTGGAGCCCCAGGACAGTGTGGAGCCCAGTGGACTTGACTTCGATGTCCCAAGCGCAATGTCGTGTGCATCAGCGTGGAGATCCAGATCCTCACTGTCTTTGTTCATAGGTAGGAGGATTCCGTTGATTTGTCATGAGTCATGAGTATAGGTCGAAAGCCAACCCATTGGCAGAGCAGCTAACCAGTTCATACCGTTAGTAGAGTAGGCAACCATTCTTTTCCAAGCGCAATAGTTTGATGGAACTGGCCCTGCACAAGTAGTTTCATCTTGCATCATCTTGCCAATTGGTTGATTTGACGCGGAGTTCTTTTTTCTCAGTGATGTGGGCGAGAGACAAATGCTCGAGGCCTTCGTTCTTCAAAAGATGAAGGAGACGGCTGAGGTGCAGCCTGAAAAAGCCTTGGGGACGGTGCTGGGAGGGCATGGCATTGGTGGACCGCCATAGAAGTGCATTCGTCTTGCTTCGGCTCACCGGGTTGACCCGGACTCGACCTACTATTCGGGTCCGGTCCCCGGCGGTTCGCGCGGGTCGAAGTGGAGGCCCATTTGGGGCACCCCATCACCGACGCGGTGATCACCGTGCCGGCATACTTCAACGACTCGCAAAGGTGCGGGACGGGATGGCAGGTATGGGAAGAGGACCATGGAGAGAGGCTCATAGAGGTGGAAATCAGCTGGGTGAGTTACGTAGTCCTGCCCTTGACGTTCCTTTAGCGACGGACAGGCTAGCCGGGAAGCAAGGGCGGTCTTGTGGGTAGACCAGTGGTGCCAAGACTTCTGTGTTCAAACCCGAAGCGAGTCAAACATCGGCACCCGTATCCTCCAAAAAGTATCCACTTCTTTTGCTTTTGTGGGTGAGGCTCTGGATCTGAGATTCACGAAACGCAGAAAAAAAAAGGGGCGACGTGTGGCAACGCAATATCATTTGTTGGTCCATAGAGTCTGCGATTTGGGACACAGGAGGCTTGACTGTCATGTTTGAGATGCGCCACACCAGCGAGTTGCAGCAGCTGTTAGAAGCTGTCATTTTGGGAGCAAAGTTTATTGAATTTGGTGTACGCATACTGAGTGTTACTGTTACATGCAGCTTATAACCGTGCTCGTACCTAGAATTTTCTAAAAGTCCATGAAATCAGCCTGTCCAGTCCATTTCCTGGCCACACCTCTTTCGCGCTTTGCTGCCGCGATGCACGAGCGGTCGATGCCGAGGCAGGCAACGAAAGATGCTGGTGCCATTTGTGGTCTCAACGTGCTCAGGCGTGAAGACCGATTGGATTCGATCAAACATGCAATGTCTTGTAAGGGATTCATATAGCCGTATAAGAGGTATAAGAGGTGATAGAAAACATATTCAATTCAGACTCTTGATCTCCTTCTAGTGGGCTACTTCATACATCTTCATACCAACCCCCCCAAAGGTCAATCTACACCCTAGACACTGAATGGCTCCAGTACATCAGCCCTGTGCACCATGTTCCTGGTTTTGTGGATCTTTCACTTTCCCTTGTTTTCTTTAAAACTTGTGGTGACTCACCATTGCTGTATATAAACGTGTGACGGAAATCACATGGAGACTTTTCCCCTTCTTGGGAAGACGATGTGTTCTTCGTTCTTTTTCCGCGGCCGATCAGCAAATCCAGGATCATCAACGAGCCCACGGCCGCTGCACTGGCCTACGGCCCGGGGTGATAACGGGATTCGGCTCGGACAGCGAGAGCAATGTGCGCCATGTGTTCGCGCTTAAGCAAAGATGGGCATTTCCTGTTGCACAGATGGGGTGCCACAACTAACTGGTAGTGACTGCGCAGACCCAATCCTGATCTTGGAGGGAACAGATGTAAGACGGGAATCTGGTTGCACCAATGGTCACCAATACTTTTGAACAGTACAATCCCTTTCAGGAGTAGCACACTGCTGAAGAAACCATAAACGGCCATGAAAGATCCCCAAATATGTTGAACAACCAGTCGAGTTGGCCAAATTTGTGAGTGGGGGACTTCATATGCTAAGCTGAAAAAGAACGAGACGAGGCCAGGGTGAGCCTGGCCGCTTGGTCGGTGGGTTGTCGGGTGGTCGGCTGCTGTGTCTTCCCGGCCGTCCAGGCTTGGATTCGAAAGTCCGGGGAGCGCAGCATGCAGGGCGGCCTGGAGAGAAGTAACGGTCAATGGCCCACCACTTCCACGAGCGATGGCCTCCAAGCTATGATCGAACATATGCATGGAATGAAAGGTTCCAAATGTTCATTTGCGGATTCCGCGCTCCTATGAATCAAAGATCTGGAAAGAGAAGTTATCAGAAGAGGTTGGAAGTTTGAATGGTGTATGAAGATTTATCCGACTGGTGTGACTGCACAAGAACATCAGGTTACCCAAGAACGGTAAAAGAAGTGGCCGCCATTGCAATTTGATGCAATTTGGACATTCAACTTGGGTCGTCACATCGAGGGGGTCATTGAACAACTTTGTGAACAGACTCACAGGCCTGTAGCGACCTTGCTACTGCCTGCTACGTGCTCACAGAGATCAATTTCTACATTGCAATGAGGTTTCTCCCGGACACCCTGCCAGTAGATTCCACATCGAGATGGCCAGATGAAGTGCGGGTACTTATTGGTTGGCTGCAGGAGGTGCATCACCAGATTCGTTGACATCCAAGGGAGTGAACCACCACCGATTACCACTGGGCACCCTAACTTTTCATCCACCACTGGACCACCGATTGTCACGATGTCCTTTACATGATTCGTTGTTTGGGCAATACTTCCTGAAGTCTGGGAATCGTTGAAACCTTCGATCTGCCGAATTCTTTCTTGATGAATCAGAATGCTGAATTCCACGGCTGAAAGAAGAAACGGAAGACGCAACATTGGGCCTCTCCCATTTTGGAGCGTGCTTGGCTTGATTCTCCCACCGGGCCGGGTCCCTAAGCCTTCGCGCCTCTCTTCCATCGCCATGCCGTTCCATGCGCTGACATCCGGCCGCGAGGTGCTGGTGTACGACATGGGCGGTGGAACCTTTGATGTGTCGCTCCTGGAAATCGAGGACCGACCGAAGGTCAGGGGAGGAATACATCGCGCCCAGGTCAAGAAGAACCACGACGTAGGCGTCGCGTCGTTTCCATCGGGGAACCGGGGAACCCCAAGTTCTTTTCACTTCCCTAGAGATCCCTAGAGTATGCCGTGACTTCGGCGGCTGAGTGTAGGATCTAATATGGATCAACAATTAGGTATATGCTTGACGCCAGCCGACCCCTTTATTTCCAATATGAGCTACGGTCAAGAAACATGTGAAGACCACTTTAGTAAAGAGGGGTAGGTTTGTGCACAAAAACCCAACAAAACGACAAGGTCCAATTCAACACCAATGACGTCCATTTCGTTTCGTTGAAGAATAAGGAGTTTTGACCGTCCCTCATATCAACATCACTGCGGGATTGATTGTGACCCTCCAATGCGGCATGGTTTCGATTGGGGTCACCTTGGAAAGTGTCTTCAAGAGTCTTCAAGTCTGAAAGAAGATGGAACACTTGACTTGGTCCTTACCACTGGTCACTGCCACTGTCGTTGTATCGCATGACGATGCGCGTGACGATCCGCATGATGATGCATCTTCAGCCACTTGATAGCCTCCCTAAAGCCTGCCTCCCTGGATCCTTTTGATCGCACCATGTCTCTCGGTGAGGATGGAGTCTTCGAAGTCAAAGCCACAGCAGGTGATACGCACTTGGGTGGTGAGGCCCGGTGGATTCATGCAACTGAAGAGTGGAGAGGGACGACTTCAGAGCGCAACATGATGGGTGCGGAGTCACAATAGACAGACCTTCACATACAATATATGATGTACTGCGACTATAACTATTCTTGACATATATATATATATACACATGCATGCATATCGACTTTTCCTGCCCTCTGCCGATCCGTCTGAAGACATCATTTTTCCCGAGGAGCTTTGATTTCTTGGACTGTCCAGTCATGCGTCTGAGGACTTTAGCAACCGCATCTTAGAGCATTGCATCAAGGCAGCGTCAGGGTTTCTTCGCGCGGACGGGACCAAGCAGTTTTGATCCACCCACCCTCCACAGATTTTGAGACACAACAGGCTGAACCACCACCATTGCCATCATTTGTCAGCAAATAACATGATTCTCGTGGTTTTGGAACTGACTTACAGTTGCAGGTCCTTTGATTCCAGCTGTTTTTGTAGTTGGCTTTCAGATGACCGTCGTATTTGGGCCCCCCTCCAAGGGTTTGTGCACACCAGACAAGTCAGCTGAAGACACCCTTGCCTTGCCTGACATGATCCAATTTCGCTTCATCTCGCTGAAGTGGATTCGCATACAACGCCTGCCGTACGCTCCTGCGGAAGAAACATCTATTCACTGAGAATCAAGAGTGGTTTTCCAAACTGCTCGTACATTTGTAATGGACAATCGAAAGCTTGCCAAACTTTTTCATATCCAGTGTTCCCAATGATGTAATATACCTTCTTATACTGCGGGCCATGGTGATTCGTTTTTTTTGATGTGACTTTCCGTGTACCTGATGTTAATTTTCTGAATCTATATATGCCGTGCCATTGGGGAGATGTGACTTCACACCGCCTGATGTGACTTGGCAACTACGGTTGTGTATATTGTCATTTTTCTTCGGGGTGCACATCAGCCGGACAAAATCCAGCGATCCTTCCTTTCTATGTATATATGGGGTCTGTTTAAAACCAACCAATGCTACACTTGATCAACGAAGCATCCCAAATTTGGATGAAACTGAAACAGCTCTTCATATGGGGAGGTTTTATTAATCAAGACTCTACCGACTCTACCTTATATACCTGCAACCACGCAGATTCCTTACCTCCCAAGTCAGGTCCGGTCGGCCGCACATTCTTAGCACGGCCGATCCGTCCAGGAATTTGAGCGAAAGAATCGAGGGAAGGACCGGAAGTGGTGAACCTGCTCGGATCAGATCTTTAAAGTTTTATTGATCGTGAGGGGATCCCAGTTTCTGGAGGGATGTATCATGTGTCTTGAAGTTGGGAAGCTCACCGAGACCAGTTTAGTGGAGAAGATGAACTGGAACAGCGGAAGTATGGCACAGAGTCAGCACTATATAAAACACTGTGCAGACATGTCGGGGAGGAACGCGTTGAGAGGTCAACCCCCAAAAACCCATTGGTCAGGCTGATGCGTCGATTCGGTGCAGGATGTCCGCTCGAACCACAGAGCGCTACGGCGGCTGCAGGCGGAGTGTGATGCCGTGACTGGGGCCTCTGAACGAAAGAAGTGACTGGGTCACTCACGATGTGACTGGTGTGAGGTGCGTTTTCTTGCAACCCCGTGTTGCGTCGGGACACAGGGATTGTCAGCAATGCCTGGGTGTCTGAGGACATGATTGTCAGGTGTCATCAGTATACACTTTGTAAAGTATTCATGGAAGTGGAACATAGGCCCCTTGGCTGACCATTTCTCTCTACAAACCACTTCAATGTTAATGAATCCGAGAGTAAGTGCACATGTTTGATTGCAACCAGGAGGGGATCCTCCATCATCCCATGGATATATTCCATGGTTCGTCGGACACGGATCTCTGGAAACGAGCCATTGCAGCAATGAGTTGAAAGTACACTCCCGAAAACTAACAATAGACCCTGACGTCCTGGCCCCCCTGGAAGAGTGTTTTCCTCTACCAACCAGCGGTTTTCAGGATCCATGTCAGTCTTCCAGGGTGTATTTGCGAGTATTTGACCTTCGGAAGGACTGTTAAAGAAAGCATCAATCCCTTGGGTGTGGCGCACGGGTCACTGCACCGGTGGATATTCATAGGAAGATTTGGAGCAAAAGCAAGATCAACGCTGCCAATACCTGTTGGCATTTGTTGACCTGATCTCCGCAGATCTTGTCAGCGATCCTTTCCAAACGAGCTGAACTCACCGTGCACCGAACGACCGGAGAGGACCGGTCTGAGGCGAAGAAGACGTTGTCCTCTTCCACTCAAGCGACGATCGAGGTGATTTGGTGAAGAGGATAATGCGATCCGGGAATGAAGGAGGTTCAATGAGGGGAGGAGACCCAGTGGAATGGGGGTAGTGCTTACTTGGCTTCAGAAGATCAGGTACAAATAAGCTACAAATGTTGTTCATGTTGCCCAACTTCATACTGAGTGAACACCCGATTTGTGCCTCATTTTGGGGCTGTCTTGAGACCGATCCGCGCCTCATTCCTTGTCCGATCCTGGTGTTTTTGGGGGTGTATTTGTTAAAGGGCGCCTCTGATACGTCTGATATACGCAGTAACCAGTGTGGACAGAATCATTCGACCACATTCCCTGCCAACATGGGCTTCCAAAAGATCAACTTCGGGCCAGGCATGCTTCAGAACGGGTCGTTCTGATGTTGCGTCTCCCGGGTCGACAGCCAGGTGGCGCATGTTGCGTCTTGACCGGCTTTGGGTCCTTCTCGGGTCGACCAAGGTCGATTCGCTGCTGGACGGCATCGATTTCTCCTGCACCATCTCCCGAGCGAAGTTTGAGGCGGACGAAGACGACGTGACGACGGGCGGACCGAAGCGAAGCGACGAGACGGGCGAGGGAGGGAGGGAGGTTGGAAGCGGGTGCGCCATTTGGAAGACGCGAAGAAAAAGGCTTGATGCCATTTGGAGATGTGGCTCGGTGTGGAGGAAAGAACTGAAGGACAGGATACGTTGAGTCTGTCCCATGACCTGTGACAGTCGGCAAGCAACGATTTTTGAACAAGTCCTGCAACTCAAGCATCATCATCCACTGTTACTGGTTATGGGATATACCCAAAGGATCCCAAAGGATATACGGTTTTAATGGAATCCTGGAGGAAAAGCATTGCGGACGCTTAAGTGCGCACGGCTAAGCCTTGCGGATCCGGGGGTGCACCGTGCTGTCCAATCGCCGGAGCCAAAGGACGAGCGCAGTCAACAGCTCCGCGGATCGGCGATGGTTCAATGACCACGAAAGAACCTCCGTCAAATCAAAACCATCTGAAATATATTGAAATATACCTAAACGCCAACCGAAGCAAACGAAGTAAACTGGAAATTGTGGGCCGAATTGGCATAGAAGCCAATGGGATCATCTCAAACGGATCCCTTGCCGGATTACACAAAGGAAACGGTAATCCAGTGTGCTGGAGTATAATCAGGAGCTCCAAAAAGCTACAGCTGTACATCATCCCTTCAGCCTGAACTTCCCATTGCAAAAACCGGTTGAGGAGGGAAACCATAAAAACACAAGGTATATAAATGCACTGTACCCCCTGGTCAACAGCTGAGCCTCAAAAACAGGTGGCACCAAAGTAGACAAGGCAGCCCGGCCTGTGGCCCATATACAAAATTGTCACTCTCAGAACTCACCGTCGGTTGGTCATCGGCAGCTTCCGTCGGTGTCGAAGCAGCCGCCACATGGAAGTAACAGGAACGAATCTGGGAAATCAAAGCCAAGTTGCTGAAGTGAAAGTCCTGCAATTCTCGCACCACTTGCCAGAAGTCCTCAGATCGACGCTCGTTGATCTCTCGTGCAAGCTGGTCACAGCAGGCACCACATCAAAGTGTTCCAGTGCCCCCCTGAATTCTCCACCATAAATTAATCCCGATGGGACCAATGCAAGGGTAATTTAATGGGTTATGAGTTATGGGTTAAGCTGGGTTATTTTCGTTAAATGGTTATTTCATGTTGTTTTAGAAAGCATCGAAAGCCCAATCAGCCTCAGTGCTCAGTAATCGATAGGTTTCTTGAAGGGATTGCTTTTGTGCTTTGAAGCGGATGTGTCCGTGGAAGGCGTGAAGCTTGACCTTTTGCAATGAAAATTGGTGCATTCCACCGGAGCAGATATTCTTTGGCCCCAAGACACACCAAATTTGGGGCTGTCTCTCCAAGAATAGGACCATTGCCCCCAAAAAAA